CACAGCATTCCTCTTGTCCACTAATTTTGTCACTTTGTCAAAGAATGCAATAAGATTTGTCTGGCACCATATGTTTTTGACAAACTCATGTTGGCTTTTGGTGATGACTTTCTTTGCCTTTAGGTGTTCACCAATTCATTGTTTTATGGTAGATACTCTTGTCACTAAGTGTAATATAATATGTCTTGAAACTTTACACAAGCTTCTAATATTTCATTTTGGAGGCATTTGTAATTAATGTTGGTTAAAATTGGAAATGCTAACCCATACATGAAGACTACAAGACTTCCCAGGTTATTCAGGAATGGTAGAACATATGCAAAAAGAAATGAGAGAAAGAATAGACTACTTTTGGAGAAGCAGTTTTTGGGCAAGTACATTATAAATGGGAAGAAGTTATTTCACTACCTCAGAAAAGAGCAGAATATGCAAAAGGCACAAGTAGTCCATTTGTTTAGCAATCAAAGTTACTATGATGCTGATAAAAGTGACTTATGACTGATCCTCACACTTATTTTGTTTATTTATTTATTTGTATCCCATCTTTATTATTTTTATAAATAACTCAAGATGGCAATAACTCCTCCTATTTTCCCCAAAACAACTATTCTGTGAGGTAGGTTGGGTTGAGAGAGAGCATCTCATTGCTCATTATGACCATCACAGCATTCCCATGGTCATGTGATCAAAATTTGAGCACTTAATAACTAGTAGTTATTTATGATAGTTGCAATGTCCCAAGGTAAAAGTAGTCATCAATTTATGATCAATTACTTAGTGACTTTTTGAAGTTATGACCAATCTGCCTAGAGGTACTTTCAACCCTGTGTCAAAGTTTCAACAACTGTCCCCCTCCTATGGTCACATGACTGCATCTCAAGCAATTTTGTCTTAATTTCTATTCACATGTTTTACTTCAGGCAAACTCCATCTCCACAGATATAACTCAAGAGATTCCTGCTACATGTATAGCATCATTACCCATAGATTGAAAGCCTTCACAAGTACAGTTCACTGACTTCCACATAAGCTAGGAACCTGCATAAAAATGGTTGTAGTTTATATGAAGGTCAGGTTTTCAGAGATAATCTGAAACCTTACATAATAGGGACAGTCTAAAAATCTATGGGGTAATGCTACTCCAAAGGGTAGACACTACAATAAAGAAAGCATACAAGGTCCTATTAGATAGCATTGACTAAAGGATGGGATGCAAAATATATGCACTTGATCAGGTTTGTAGGACAAGCAGATATGACAGGGAAAAGATGGTCCTTTAAATCAAGAGTTCCAACCTGTGGGCCACAGCCCACTATTCGTCTGTAGCCTATTGGACACCGGGCCATGGAAATGGCTGGACAGTGCATGCACTTCCTCCACTCATGCTAGCACCACTGTGAGTATCACGCAAGTGCTAGTGGCCCTGTTTGCAAATGCATGTGGATGCTACTAGCCCCATTTGCAAGTGTGCATGGGCACTAGCGCTGCTTAAGTGTTGCATGGGTGTGCATGGCTCCATGTAAATTTGCCTGCTTCCTATTTTCCCTCCGGGATGCCAATCCAGAGGGACCTCTGCTTTAAATAATCTGACTCTATGACATGAAGTTTATGATAGATGGTAGCAAGCATCTTGAAATGCACATGGAAACTCTTGGTAATCCCTTCAAATCACTTATCAGAAGTATTACATGGGAGGACATGTAAATAGCAATAGCACTTAGACTTATCTTTCCTGATAGTTACTTAAACCAACTTCCCTCATTTTGCTCTTGTCCAGTTTCTGGGAAATGTGGGGTAGTACCTCTGGATATCCATAACTGCTCATGATGTTGCATTCTTGACAGTTTCTGAGTAGAAGCATCATGTAGAAATATGGAAGCTGTTTAGCTCTAAAGATCACATGCACCAAACTCTTCCCAACAACCTAGAATGCCATAATGTATCAGTGTAGTAATATGTGTGAATGTGGCCTTTTGTGACTGATAGATGCAAATTTTGTCAATACGCAGATTTTTTAAGTTCCAATTTTTTGGTAGTGGTAGTGGCTGATTTATGCTATAATCCTTCAACTTTGATTTTCAAATCTTGAAAATCTTTTCAAATTTTTTGTCTTCTATTCTACTAACCCCTGGTATTGCCAGATTATTACCTACATTTTCTTCTTTTCCATCATAGCTAAATTTAGTGTTTTATAAGGCAAGACATCATCAATTTGAGTCTACTTCCAGGCATTAAAGAGAAAGTAAAGAATCAAAATTTCTTGGGATGAATTATTAAACAATTGAGAAATTAACTGAAGTTTTAGGGTTCTCAAACTTCACCAAACTATAACCACCTAAAATAATATGTGAATGATAAATGTATATAGAGCTTTATCATACTTTCTGAGTTGGCCATAGCATTTCTTTTTGTCTAGGTCATGTTTAGGTTTTCTATTTTTTTTCTATAACTCTTGGTTATCTACAGCACGATTTTATTTTATTTTATTTGTCCTCTTGCCATTTTCCTTAACATATTTTATTTTTTTCTGTGCATTAAATAACATTAAATTAAAATAGTTTTTCAATTTAAAAATCTAGAAATAAAATAAATTTCACCATTACATAAACTTCTATAAATACCCTAAAGGCTATGGGTACATGGATACATGATTGCACATCACACTGGAAGTCACCTGCTGGTAGGAAACTATTTGTCAATCACCTTTTGTTTAGCCATGTCTCAAAGCCTGCTTTGGATTTTTTGCTCCTTGCTTTATCTTAGCAACATGGAAGCAAGTTTTAATAGACTATTCTCACGCAAGCTGGTGCAAGCCTTATCAGCTATAAATTCTACAAATTCACATTGTTTTGGTTTTCTTTTCTAAATACACATGTAGGACCCCATCCCCCACCCCCCCCCAAAGCTCGGGAGAGAAGCTGGGGAAAATGCTAAACTATATTCCTGTCAGAACTTTCAGTCTTTAAAACTCCATCACCCTGAAAATATTTTCCTTCTTTTACTATCCTTATTTTTTTTTTTTTGTCAATTAGTAGGGAAGGCCTTTGGATGACAAGTCTGAAGAATTAATATTTTCCCCTCTGACTCCAATTTAATATGAGTCACTTTTTAAAAGGATTTTTGATGTAATTTTAATGTAATTCTTTAGTTGCAGAAAAATTTCCTTGCATTGCTGATACACAGTATGGTTTTCAGACAGGTATTTCTGCATTAATGTTTCAAGACCTTTACCAATTCCCTTCCTTTTTAAGCAGGAGATATAATACATAGGAATATTACATTCAGATATAATCCAGTGATTAAACTCTGGGATCATCACAGGCTTATCAATGCTTTGATTTAACTAAAATATGCTGAATGAGTCATAGTGGATGGGTTCACACATAATGCTAAACCACAAACCTGATTTTAGAAATCCCACTGTTTTAAGCTGAAACTAAACAAATGTATTATGCCTTAATTTGTATCATGAAGGCATTTCATGGTCATGAACTTCAGTAGAAGATAACTTTTGCTGATGAAAACAGTATAATAATGAATTGTTCTGACTTTTTTCATTTTGTGGCTAGTTAGTATTCTGTGATATCAAAAACAGAAGGATAAGTGTGTAAATCATGGTGTAAAGACAAAACAAAGTCAGGATCATGGAAACAGAGAATGGAATTGTGGTTACCAAATCAACCCTTTGATGTTGTAATTATAGCCATTGAAGAAAAACCGATAAACTTTATTGTCAATATGAAAAATATATTGTGTAGGATAAGACTACCTATAAATAAAGTTTAAATGTTATGATGAACTCCTTTATTGACTTAAAATGCTCTAGTTATTTCCTCTAAAATAAGAGACCAGTGAAGATATTCATGGCGCCATTGATAACAGTTTTGTTATTTCAGGAACATTGTTTTAAATCACTAAATATATAGATAGCTACTTGTCTTATTCCTATTCCTTAATTTTTGTACAGTAAGAAGATATTTCCCCAAATATTTAAATACTGTGCTAATATTCAGTGAATTTTATATCTTGACAGGGATCATTAGATTTCACATAAAATTGCAATAGAAGCTACAGGAAAAATAAAACCATAACATGAGAAAATAGGCATTGACATAAATTGAACAATAATAATTCTATTATTCAGCTTGGTACCAAAATGAAATTTGGGGGAAAAACGTCTATATTAAACTGATTGTAATACAGTTTTAAAATATGCACATTTTCCACATTTCTGCAACTGTGTTCAAGGACATTTTTACTGAGGAAAGAGATTTGGCAGACAAGAATTCTCTGCTTTTAGTTTTTGTTACAAATAAATTGTTCTATTGAGACCTTTGCTGGCAAAACTACCTGCTTGATTCATGCCTTTCCACAGGAATACATCTCTGTCATTTAGATTGAGGGGTGTCAAATTTATTTTAACAAATCACCGCTATTCTGTTTAGATTAAGCTAGACATTAGTATGTGGCCAATGGTTTGATTTCTCATCTTAAATTACCATTAATTTGAAGTCATTCTTGTCAAGGACCCTGGAGACACATCAGCAGAACTTGTACAAATCAAGACTGAACTTTTAGATATTGTGAAAACACTCTCATTGGAAATCAAGGCATGCACTCTCTTTTGAATTCTATTTACCAGCTTGATTATCACTTCCATATCATTATCAAAACTGAAAGCTCTGCCTGGAGCATGGTATTCTTAAAAGCATAAGAATTATTTGAAAGAAAGTAGAGGAAGTAGAGGAAAGTAGAGAAAAGAGATCTTTTTTGAAAAAACAACAACAATGGTTTTTCTGGTTTAAATCAACGTATGGATATTCCACTATATGGTATTGTGTAAAAGACAATAACTATATATTTTTTTAGAAAAACAGCCTTGTTATTCTCTGGTAACAAAAGAAAGAAACATCCAGGGGCATCTTAAAGTGCTTGTGCTTTACATCCCTGAAGAAATTTGTTTCTATAATTTAAAGAGGAGAAAAATATCTTGAACATACCTTTGGTGGCTAGCCGGACACAATTTATTTTGATTTCCTGCAAATTACAGAATATGAAAGGACATCAGATTGTTTCTTTATGAAGCATTTAAGAAGGAACAATACCCTACAGCTAGAGTCATACATAAAGAATATTTCTGGAATATCTATGCTAGAATAATAAATATAGGGCTATGCACACAGTGAAAATGGAAGTACCTTGGACCTAACCTGAATGTAAGCATACACTTCTCATCTACTATTCATTTAAAGGAACATGATATTTTTCAGATTCCTATTGCTTCAAGAGTCACCCGAACTTTGATGATGAATTCCTTAAAGGGTATCACTTTTTTCATGCTTATATGGAAACCTGAAACAAGATCAGATTGCTTTAATCTACAGCAAAGAAATGCTATTTCTGCATGAGACTTAAAGCACTTCAAATCACTTTTGAAGAGTATTCAGCCCTAATAAATGCAAATTGATACCACTGTGCATAAAACCTGAGTGCCATTGTCAGGGAATAGATTGGGGATATAAATTAAATTCAATAGGCACATTAGTGAAAGGGAAATGGTGCAATCTGCAAAAAGGACAAAAATACACTGGCATAAACAGAGTCTTCTAGTGTTCATCACGCTCTAGTCACACACGTTTACAAATATATAGAAGGAAATGCATATTTGAAAAAAGGTATACCTAGCATAAGAATATAAAACTTGAAAAAAAATTAAGCTCTATAGAAGAGTGTTAGGGACAGTTACAAATCATTTCTTTTCCTTCCTTCCTTCCTTCCTTCCTTCCTTCCTTCCTTCCTTCCTTCCTTCCTTCCTTCCTTCCTTCCTTCCTTTCTTTTTCAGAAAATTGTTAGAATATAAAAATAGAGGAAAATTTTGCAAACCATATAGATTTGATTTATACTCATCTAGATGCCTTTTGTTCAAAAATATGTTTATCATAATTTAAGAACACATAATTCATACCCAAATGATATATAATCCAGTTGTACCTTGCAATTTGTCTTTATGGTTCTGAAAAAGAAAGATTTGATGGGTGGTAATAAACTACAAATGATGTTTCTTCCTCTGTTTTACACTGTAAAACATGTGTCTCCAAACACCAGATTTTGAATAAATTATTGTATATAAAAGAACTTTATTAATGTGGCTATTTTGTGCATATTTTGCTTGTATAAATTATTGTACATAATAGGGTTCAATCAATATGGTTATTTTGTGCACATTTTGCAAGCATTAATATAGCATTATATAGTTACAATTTTCATCTTATATTTTAATAATAATTCTAAAAATAATAGAACAATATTATAACAAATATATTTTCTGGTGGGATAAGCTAAACACATGATTCTACATCCGGTGAGACCAGTATTATTGTACATCATATTGTTTCATTATATAATAGAAACCACCTGTTTACTGGAATGTGTGATTTTTCACTTTATGGACTTGTCAAAAGCCAGATGCTTAAATGAAATGTGTCAGAGTTGGGTGTAAAGAAGGAAAAAAGCAAAGATTTGTATAGAGAAAATACATCTTGTTCCTGATTCAATGAGATTGTGCAACAATGCACAGGAATGTTGACAGAGTAGACATATGCAGCCCTGGTACCTTATTTAAATTCCACAACCCCAAGTGGGTGGAATTCAGGGATGTAAGTTTTTGACAATCTCACCATTAGCATTTCTCAAAAGCTCAGCTTTTATGACCAATATTTTAGATGTAAACATAACAATCTCGCAAGATTTGATAATCTTACAAGGTTTCAGCAGTTATTAATATATGCATTTAATTCTGATTGATTTATTTAAAACATTAAGCATCTATATTTTGCCTTTTCTCACACAGTTTTATTTAATTTTTTTTTCTGAGAATGTTCTCTATGGTTGTTGAGGGTGCCTTAATATTCTGAATTCTGCCCTCCAACCACAGAAGAAAATCCAAGAATGTTATCAAGGACAGAAAGCAATAATTAGAAATGAATACAGAGGTGAGATTATAATTTTTATCCAATTAAACCATTCTGTTTATACTACCTGATGTAAATGTTTCTCCTGAAGACAAAATCAACATTGAAATTTCATTTTTACTGTGACCAATTCATATTTAATTAAAATACCATGGGAAGAGGAACAGCCAAGCATTGATAAATAGATAGATACAAATCTCATTAAAAGACGCTAATCTGAAATTGTGTGGAAAATAGGAGATACTATTTACTAGGAAAAACAGGTTAGATTTACAGTACTATCAAATAAAGAGGGGTTTTTAATGCACCATTTCTATGCCAAGCAATATTTATAAAATGAAGTTGATGGGAGGAAAACGGATAGCTGGAAGCAGTTTGGACTGGCACCTCTTATTAAATAATTACAGAATGAAGTGTAAACTTGTTTTGTTTTTTGTATATCTGCATGATTTGGAATTATATCAGCTCTTGAGCTGTCATTACTTATGAGTTGGAGGATGCAGGTCTTCAAACAAGAATATAAATAACAATTACACACATATGTGTATCCTTCCTTCTCCCTAGCCTTTACAGAAAATTTGAGTGGAGATTTTCACCTTCCTCCAACAATGGTACCCCTGGGAAATCTCTCCTGTGCATTTTTGGTTTACTCTGTAGTTCACTGAAAGACAGAAAATGTAGTCTGTCTCCCTCCCAGAGATTTTGAGCAGGATTATAGAGGCGGGTAGGAGGAATCTTTTTTCTCTCACATTAAAGAGTTCTTGCTCAAGTTTCCTACTTGGTTTTCTACTGCAAACAAGCTAATATATATGTTGCAATGAACATTAAAGTGACAATCACTTTAATTCTTCCAACTTCAAGCAAATGTGTTATACACTTTGGGTATACTTGTCATAATACAACAAGCTTACTTTCAAATATTAAAACAATCCCATGGTTTGGCAAACTTGTTTTTTAAAAAGATCCAGGGGATTTATTGTTAAATTTTGTTCATGATACACTTACCCCATTTGCTTTACTAAGAGCCTGAAAGTAAATGCTGTAGCTTTTCAATGGTGAAAGTGGAGCATTCCAATAGCCATTGTAGGTTTTGTTGTCTCCCACTGTGAAAGGCTGTGTAACTGGAAGATTGACTGGCTTCAACTCAGCTGCAAAGTAATGGGGGGAGTCAAGACTTGAAGCATTTTTGTAGCTCACTGGAACAGAGAAACATTCAATGATGTCTGCAGCTCTTCGTGATTTCTGTGGCCGTTCTTCTTTTACAACAAGCTGGTAGACACTGAAAAAGACCAGGAACACTTAATGGGATAGGAACAAAAAACCTTTTGGTAAGAAAAACAATTTAATTCAGAAGAGTATTAGCAATAAAAAAAATGGATATCAGGTAGAGAGTCCAAGTGTCTGCATTTACAGTACTATAGAAAAATCCCAAGAGTTGCACTAAATAACACTGCTGACCAGCATTCTACAAATGTAATAATAAGTGAAGTATTATAATTTTACTGCTATGATGTCAGCCTGAACTGAATTGTCACTTGGCAGTACTCCTGTTGAGCACTTTTGCTGTCTCCCTGCTATAGAACTCAGCTAAGGACTCACACAGCTGTCTACTAGATCACTGAGAAATTTCCCAAGTGTATGGTGGAAACTAATTGGATCCATAAGGTGCCTGGGATAAATTATCTTAATGGCCCTGCATTCTCTAAGAAGGACAGTGGTAGCTGTGAGTCCCAAAGTGACCAGATAGTGATCTGACCATGACAAATGACTGAAGTTGATGTCTTTCATCTTTAGCTTGCACACTACTTGCAGTGAGATAAAAACCAGATCAAATATGTGGCTTCACAGTGTGAATTGGGGCTATGATGACCTTTTTAATTCCATTTTCAGATACTCCTGCCAACTGTTTTCCATACTTTAAGTCCAAATAATGACCCAAATAAATTGGAATGAGGAACAGAAAGAAAAGGAACAGCAAAGTTTTGTTGAATTCTGAAAGCCTTACAAGCACATTCAATTGAATCCTCCTTCAGTTGTTGAATGAACAAAAACTGAAGGTTTATCGTGGTACAATTAAACATTTTGGAGCTGCAGCAAAATCTACATCCCTACATGAATTTATAACTTGTGAAATTACATTGAAACCTTTAACAGAACTACTTTGATTGCAGTAAATTGAATGATTGACATGGTTGAGAAGCCAAGTTAGAAAAAGATTAAAGAGTCAGGTAAGGTACAGGATTATAAAAACTATAATCACAATACCTTATTATTACACCTCCTGGTCCCCAGGATACAATTTACCAAGCCCTAAAGTCTGGGCAGTGGGTCTGTCCTCAAAGTAGAATGGCAAGAAATTGAACGTAAGAATTGGAAAAATACAAGTAGTCCTCGTTTATTGATTGTCCTCTTTAATGACACACACACACACACACACACACACACACAGAGAGAGACAGAGAGAGAGAGAGAGAGAGAGAGAGAGAGAGAGAGAGAGAGAGAGAGAGAGAGAGAGAGAGAGAGAGAGAGAGAGATGGTATTGGTATTGGTATTCCATTCCCTGCTGCTAAGAAGGATAGTTTGAGGATACAAAGGATTCAGGAGCATCACTTGGCAGATAAACCAACATGCAAAGAGGAAGGTAGGGTGATTTCATCAGTAAAGAAATTGCACTGGAAACTGCCTGGGGGAGAATCAAAGTTTGAAGAGCCAGGAAGAAACTAAGAAGAGAAGCAGATTGGAGATCTGATCTAAGAGGAGGAATCAAACACCCAAGAAGAGAAAGTGAAGAACAATAGCTCTACATGGTTTTGTTTTGTTGTGTTGTGCAATGAGAATTTTTTTCCAAGAGACAGAGCAAGAACATTTCTTTAAATACTGTGCTTTTGAAAAGTAGTTTACCTTTGAGGGAATTCCTCCATCTATTTGTGTGAGAAAAGACAGCTTATTAATTCTGAGTGAGCCTTATTCCAGGACAATGGAAGATTAATTCCATTGATTCAATAGCACAGTGTTACTTAAAGTGATTATACCTGTGCTTTAATGTCCAAGTGTTTTAACATATCCTTTCTTAATGATGTATGTAACAGCTGTAGAAAGCTCGTAAGAGAGGTGAGAGGTTTTCTTTTTTCTTTTTGAATGCCTTGGAAGGGAGAACATTGTTCCTTGGAGCATCCCAGCTAAAACATTTGTCAGCAGGATTATTTCCAATTATAAATGAGTTCAATGGGATCCTATTGGGAGATCTCATGGGGAATTGGCTCATTGAATTCAGGGCCAGCTTCTGTGTAGCAGCAAGGGTCATGTTTATGACACACACAAATACAAATTTCTTAGAATTATGCTTGACTTCTAGTGATTTCACAAACTATTTATGTACCTGTTTGGCAAAGCAGTAATTTGCTACTGCTTTCTTCTTGGATGTTTTTTTTTACTTCCAAGGTTAGTTTATAATTCCGATATTCTGTCTCCCATCCAACTACTAACGGGACTGATTTACTTAGTTTCTAATTTCAGACAAAGTCAGCCATGTACTGCCTCCTGTTTATTATGAAATTCAAATATAACAACACATTTTCATACTTCATAATAAGTATCTGCCAATTTACCTTAAATTGGTACTGAATTTGTCTTGGCTTACTAGTATAACAAATACTACAGAATGATAACCTTTAAATTCAACCAATTTATACAGTATGTGAAATTTACACAGACTGAAGGATTAACTCATGTCCCTTTCAAGGCATCATCAACATATTTTGTAAATGTTTAACATTCAGTGGATGTCTGGTACTTCCAAGAAATAAGTTTAATTAATCATACAGCATTATTGAAAAATTTTGAAATTATGTGCATACTGGAAACAATTTAAACACAGGAAAAACAGCCACATTTTTCATTCCAAGTTATAGAATTGTTTAGAAATAACAGCAATAGATTTTCTTCATTATTTTGCTAAGGAAGAAAAACACACATATACACACCCACTTTCCTATCTGTATGTTCTTTAATCCAAAAATAATCTTGATTTTACTTAAGAATAAAGTTAATCATCATCAAATATAGATTGTAATACATGTAATCATAAAGAGCTGACTATATTTCAAAGCTTGGGTTACATCAGTTTTTTTCTAATAAATTATACAACTATATTAACAATGATATGAAAGGAGACACAGTGGCCCAGTGGCTTAATGATGCTGAAACTGCTGGCCAGAAATGGTCTGCACTCCGCCAGTTCGATCCTGGCTTCACAAGACCGAGTGTGCTCTCATTGCTCATTCTCTGATTCCTGACCACCCAGCAGTTTAAAAACAGATTGCAAGTAGATAAATGGGTACCACCTGGGTGGGAAAACCTAGCTGCATTTACACGTACAATGGAGTCCTGTGTTATTATAGCTTTAGCTGGTACTGGACCTGGCTGGATGTGAGGCAACATGACACAAGGTAAGGCAAGACTAGCAGAGGAGCCCAGAAGAGACGAAAAGCCAAGTGCCACTAGTTAGCTGCTGTAAAGCTAATTTTCCACCACCATTGATACACTAAGCATGGGAGTGCAAGTGCTAAACAAAATGCAAATAGCAATCTAGGCTGTCAGGTCTGCATTGTGTCTAGCATTTTCTGATTTCCCTGACATTGAATGCCATAGGATGGATGGATGGATGGATGGATGGATGGATGGATGGCTAAATAAATAAATAAATAAATAAATAAATAAATAAATAAATAAATAAATAAATAAATAAATAAATAAATAAATAAATAGCAAACAATGATATCAAGAACAATATCTGGAACAATTTCATGCCTATGATTTCTGCAATGGTATGTGAAAATAATACTGCCTAGAGAACAATCAGATGTGGGGGAGAGAGGAAGAAAATCCTGCAGCTGCATAACAATCAGAGAAAGAAACTAAGAAAAGATCTTCCCTAACTTCTCAGAATGTAAAAAGAGGCAGCAAGAGATTTGTACTACTAGACTTGCAAATTTCTGTCAATGTAGCCTTATAATAAAAAAAGAATTAGCTCATTTGTTCTCTTTGCTCTGTGATCTGTCTGGGAAAGCAGACAATTTTCTACCTCTTACACTATCTTTAATCAATTTATCTAAGGAATGCACTTTAGGAAAACTTGTTGAATGGAATTTGATATCTTTTCAGCAGAGTTTGGCAACTCTTCAATAAACATTAATTTCTCCAATTAATTTAATGTCATAAATAATGTATTAAGTAGCAGCTAGAATTCTGAAAAAAAATATAGCTGTCTGAATTATGATCACAAATCCTGCATCTATCATAATAGAGTTCAATCCTGTTTTTCACATGAATTCATCAGAACCTACAAGGGGTAGCAACTGTACTACATTTCTCTTTAGTATTTTATTGCTTATTCCAATTTGAAAATGCATCAGTATCTTAATTCAATATAGCTTGATCCACAAGGCATTTTTATATTAGAAGACACCAAAATCTTTAATATCTTCATTAATGATTTAAATGAAGGAATAGAAGGGGAACTCATCAAATTTGCAGATAACACTAAACTGGCAGGAATAGCCAATACCTCAGAAGACAAACTCAGGATCTAAAAAGATCTTGACAAACTTGAACAATGGGCCCTCTTATGTATTGAGGTTTATTACCTGGAAACTTCTGGAAACGGTCAAACTGCTGCACCTGCTTGAGCTCCAGACTGACTGTCTACATATTAATTAGCTTGTCTTTTAAGCAGGAAATATTGCTTCAATTCTATTGGCTACCACTTAGTGGTGAGCTGTATAAATACTGGTTAAGCAGCAGTTAGTGCTGCTTCTGTTGTTAACTGAATAAAGAGTTGCTGTTTGCACCATTCGCCTCTTCAATGCCTCACCAAACTGAAAATATAACAGGCCCTATCCAACAGAATTATGTTTAATGTGGAGAAAACCAAGGTTTAACACCTGAGCATGAAAAACCAAAGGTACAAGTACAGATTAAGCGAAACCTGGCTCAAAAACAGTAACTGTGAGAGGGACCTTAGAGTCCTAGTGGATGATCACTTGAACATGTGTGCAGCAGCAGCCAAAAAAGCTAATACAATCCTGGGTTGCATAAACAGAGGCATAGAATCAAGATCATATAAAGTATTAGTACTTTATAAAATCCTAGTAAGATCACATCTGGAATACTGCAATCAATTTTGGTCACCATACTACAAAAAAGATGTTGAGACTTTGGGAAGAGTTCAGAGAAGAGCAACTAAGATGATCAGGGGGTTGGAAATTAAAATATATGAAG